AAAATGAGGAGCTGATGCCAAGGGCTTAAGTGGAGAGCAAATATTTTGAGAATGATGAGGGCAACGAATGTATAAATGTGCTTGACACAAATGATGTATGTATGGATTGTGATAAGTTGTATGAGCCCCAATAAAATGATTTTAAAGAAAAATGTGGGATTGAGTGTTGAGTAAAATAAGACTTAAAAATGTATATCTGAGTGTAAAACATTTTCCTTGTTATTATAGAGCATTTAACGGGTCTCATTCAGTCTGAAGACAATTGCAACTGTTCTAGTTCTTCCTCTAGGTGCCTGAATGCAGACCACTGGTAAGAAATACCAGCGCCCAGGTGACATAGTGGTTATGCATTGGGCTGCTAACCGCAAGGTGAACAGTTCAAAACCATCTGCCACTGAGCCGGAGAAAGATGAGACTTCCTATTCCCATAGTTACAGAAGAAGGCATTAGAGACTCCCAAAGTTCGTCCTCAGACAAAGCAAGGGGATCTTAAGTAGATTCAGTGGCCTCTTATAACAACACACCCCAATATGATGATGGCTGTTATTAGGTGTCACTGAATGGATCCCAACGCATGGTACCCTTTGTGTCAGGACTCTACACCAGGGAGAGCAACAAATTTAGATTCATTAAATACATGATACAACTTGACATCATTTGTTACTACTTTTTGAAAGAGGGGAAATTGTAAGAACTCACAAAAGAAACGAAAAGGATGCCAATAGCTTGCTAAATATATTCTTACCTTTTCTGCTGATAAGAACCGAGTCCAAGGGTTGTCTCAGTCTGTAAAAGGAAGAGAAAAAGGGTGAAAAATGGAAATAAAAATCTCTATATAACAAATAGAGGATATCTAAAAATGTTTTACTCTGGATTCAACTTTGATCTTTTTTTATTTTCCAACTTTGATTTTATACCTACCTGGATCCCAAGTTAAACTTGATTCCACAACCATGTGAAATAACATGCCATAGGATGTAATTCAATGAGAGAATAATTTGGGTCAAATTTTAAACACTAGTATCTACAAAGTATAGTGACTGACTTTTAAATTTGCCAAATCTATAAATTCTATGAGAGTTACTAATTTTGACAGTAACTTTGTGAGGCTTCTCTGGATTGAACTATGGCTCCTCCAAATCCCTATAGGGCCACTAAAGGAGCTCTGGTAGCACTGTCAGGTAAGTATTGGATTGCTAACCCCAAGATCAGTGGTTCTAACCCACCAGCTGCACCTCATGAAAAAGACGAAGTTATCTACTCCCATAAAGATTTACAGCCTCAGAAACCCTATATAGGGAGGGTCTCTAGAAGTTGAGATTGACATGAATGGCAGTGGATATAGGGTCACTAGAGGAGCCCAGGATATGTGAGTTAAGCATTGAGTGCTAACTGCAAGGTTAGTGAGTCAAACCCACCAGCCACTCCAAGAGAAAAAAAATGAGGCCATCTGCTCCCACAAGATTCCAGTCTCGCGGCCAAGGGGGCGGTTCTAAGGAGTCCTTTAGGGTTGCTGTGAATCTGAGTCCACACAATGGCAGTGGGCTGGGTTTTGCAGGGTCACTATGGGTAGGAATCAACTTGATGGCAAACAACATAAGCCCACTTTTAATAGTTTTTCTTTGTAACGAGTCATTGTAGAATATATGTCTTAAGCAATCGTTTTGGATATATAACATTATATATAGTTATTTGGCTATATAACATTATATATATAAGATTAGTCACAGAAGCAATCAAGCAGATGAGAAAAGACTGATGCCACACCATCTGAGTGAGGATCACCAAGGAATTGGGGAACCGAAGTTTAAAGGAGATAAGGACCTTCTTTGTCCAAGAGTCAGCACCCTGAATTTGGACTTCTAGCCTCCTACACTGGGAGAACATACATTCCTGTTGTACAAGCTACTCCTGGTAAACCTGTTAGAACAACATTAGAGAAGTAGACAAGTAATGTACGTATTTCACACAATCCCCTCTTACCAACATGCACAGTGTGTGGAGCCAGTCATTTTAAAAATGCACTTGCACTTACACATTAAATGAAGGACTAAAAAGGTGCTATAACAGAGAACAAATAGGTGACATACTTAAACATGTCTTGAAGAGAATGCTTGTCTGAAGAAACAACATTTAAGTTTAAAATTTTTAAAAAGAAACTGAATACAGGAAGAGAGGGTTAGTGGTAGTGGTGCAGAAGATGGTGTTCAATGCCCTACTTTATGACAGGGTTTCATCCCAATGACAACTGGTTATGTGCATCATGAACTGGTTCAAGTTGAATATCTATTTGGAGGGGGGGTCCTGGGGGTGGCTCTTATCTGCTATATGAGGGGGTACGCCCCCCCAAAAAGAGAAGCTCTGCGGGTGGCTCTCTCATAGTACACGTTCTTCCTGCTAAGCAAGCATCGAGCAACTTGCTCTGAGTTGGTGCACCCAGTGGGGTGGCCTGGGAAGGTTCTCTCTGGTCATGGTGAATTTTGTTGTGAGCAGTTTCGCTGGAACCTTGTGTTTTGCCATGACCAATTTAAGAGGACAGTGTGTGCCTGTGCAATTTTGTTTCCTGCTCTAGAAAAACACTGCAGAAACTGTTGTGATGTTGTACACAGCTTACAAGGACAGCACTATGAAAAAAACTCACGTGGTTTTCTTGTTTCAAAAAAAGGTGAAATGTTGCTTTATGACAAACCTCATTCTGGATGTCCATCAACTTCCCAAATGGACGAAAATGTCAACTCATAGAACATTTGGGGTTTGGAGTTTGTTCCACCAGGTCAGCCTGTTAATTAAGCTTTCTATTTAAAGAAGGTTCTGAAAAGATTGTATAACAGTGTGTGACCAAAAAAGACCTGATTTGTGGAAGATGGGACTCGTTCTGCCCCCATGACAATGCACTTTCTCACGCAGCGATCTAATTGCACCAGATTTTGGCAAAAAACAGCATGCCTCAATTGACCCACTCACCTTACTCACCTCACCTTACTCCTTTGACTTTGTTTCCGCAAACGCAGAGGGACATGAAGGACAGCAACTGGATGATGTAAAAGAAGTGAAGAAAAAAGCGAGGAAGGTGCTGTCAGCCATCCAAACAGATGAAGATGAGTTGGAAAAATGCTTCCAAGAATGGAATTGCAGATTTGATAAATGTATTAAGTGTAGTGGAGAGTACTTTGAAGGTGATAAGGTTGTTTTATAAAAAAAATTAAATACATAGCTTTGGAAAAAATTCCAGGTTGTTGTGGGGTTTTTTTTGGTACCCCCCTCGTATGAAAGTGTTTTGAATAGTACGCCATTAACACTTAACATCTGTGAGTGAGTACTGAGAAGGATATCTTTATCAAATTAGGTGCTACAACATTGTACAAGGGAGCTTCAAAGGACTCATGGAAAACGGTATCAAAAGATAATGGAAATTAAGTTACAAATAGCACAGGTCCCAAACCACCCCCACAAAACCAAGAATGGTAACACCGCAGTGAAAGTCAAGGTTATCAAGAGAATTCTAGCTCTGAGTTCTAGGGGAATAAAGGAAAAGCAATAGCAAAAATAGCAACATGACAGAATAAATAAGTACAAATGCTAATATGCAACTACAGAAAAATTAAGTGAAATTACACAGATATAAGGCGGCTTCAAAAGTTTGTGGGGAAATTACATTATCTTTTAATTCCATTTTCCACGAACTTTTGAAGCCTCTTCATATAATAGAGCAAATACAGTACAATGTTGATTAAAGAGTATCCAAACTCCACTGAGTTGATTCTGACTCAGTCACTCAACAGGACTGGGTAGAACTGGCCCTGTGGGTATCTGAGACTCACTCTTTACAGGAGTAGAAAGCCTTGTCTTTCTCCCACAGAGCGGCTGGTGGTTTGGGAAGGGCTGACCTTGCCGTTAGCAGCCCAACACTGAGCCACTACTCCACCAGGGCTCCCCCAGTGAACAGTATAGGTGGAAGATAGAAAGAGTTCACTGTACATTCTTACAATTTTCTGTGGGTTTGAAATTTTTTGTCATAAAATACTTTTATTATAAATGTTATAAATGAATGATACAAAAGACAAATATAAGGCATGACAAATTCTTGCTAAAATTAAACTTGGTGTGGTTACAAAGTAGTAACAAAGGCCTGCTGACCAGGAAAGAAGAGGATTAGAGCTTTAATCTCAGGTGGAGAAGGGAATCGTTCTCACTTTAGCCTTCCTATCTCACCCAAGGCAGAAAAACAGTTTGATGGTCACATCCCCAAACACAAGCTCACTACAAGAGTAAGATTTAATCAGAAGATTATCATAGGAACACTTCTGCTCCCAATAGCTGACCATTAACCTAACAGGGTGTCAGTCTATCAACAATAGGCTCAGCTGAAAGAGCTACAAGGCACAGACTCAGAGGAGTATTTGGGGAAGCCTAAAATCAACAGGAGAGACAAAAACAATGGTTCTAAAGTCTCTGATAGGCAGCTATTAAAACAAAACTCAAGGCCATCGAGTTGGTTCCGATTCAAGAGATCCTATAGGACAAAGGTAGAAATGCCTTGTTAGTTTCTGAGACTGTAACTGTACAGGAGCAGAAAGCCTCGTCTTTCTCTCATGGAGTGACTGGTGGTTTTGAACTGCTGACCTTAGGGTTAGCAGCCCAATGTGTCGCCACTATGTCATGTATAGCTATAGTAATCATTAAACAAAGCCCAACTACTAATCAAACTCATCCAAACACCAGAGGCCTATTTACCTTAATTCTTATTACCCAACACAAATTGTCCTTTTAAAAAGGACAAAATTCAGAGCATAACAATACAAGGTAGGAAAGAACACAATGTGACAGATGTTGGAATCATCACACCAGGAATTTCAAAAACAAAACAAAAACTGTGTAAGAGACCTGTATCATCTTTAAGGAACAAGATATACATTAGTCAGTCTAGATATGAAAATTTTCAATGAATTGATTCAGTTACCAAATTCCACATTTACTGACAGAAATATTGAAACTCAAAGTTTCATCCACACACATCTGTGGGATATGAAAAGACTTTTCCCCAGCTTTGTCTCCCCCAAAGATATGCCAAACCTAAGAGGCTGTTTGCCAGCACATGGTGGGAGGTCAGATGCTTAGAGATATTCTCCCTGAAGGCATTCAGCCATTAGACTACTGTCTGGTCCACTGTAGGTGGGGCTCACAGTCTACTGTTAAGGATAGTAATTCCATGGAGAGCCAGAGAAGTGGTCAAACCTGCTCAGTGACATCCAAAGTTAGGCTGCCATCCTGAATCTAGGATCCACCCATCTTGTCACATGTGTACCTCCAACTCCTCCCCTTCCTATTGCATGTATACTCTTAGATTTCCCACCTCATTGCTGTATTACCTATAGTACAACCCCTTCCTGTGACGTGTCTTTACCTATAATCAGGGGGCTTGCAAGCCCCCAAAGATATATAAACCTTGGTTTGAAATAAATCATTCTCTCTTGCCCCTGCGATTCCCATCTTCCACATCCTCACGTGGACCACCTAGTGGGACGGAGGTGAGCATGCTACCATGAAATGTGCCTGACGCCTTCATTTTACTCTCTCTCCTATCTCTTTTGTTCTGACTTCACTATAATCTTTACATATTATCGCTGTACAATTGTGCCTGCTGGATCTTTGATGATCTGTTAGGGGCTGGTTCCCCTGACACACATCCACTGCAAGAGTTCAAGACCGTAGTGCTCCACAGAAACCAAGTATCTCTTGCACGACAACAGTTATTCCTAGATGCTCTTGAGTCGGAGGGAACTTCT